TGGGACAAAGGTGGGCTTGGTTAACAGAGAAAATAATTTGTATGGTCACATCCTCTTCTGACCGAAGTTCTTTCAGAGGAGCTGAGATGCCTTGTGAGGTCTGCAGGGAATACAGATGGGCCCATTAAAGTGTCAAGCTTTCCTGCAGAACTACAGCTTTCCACTGACAAATCAGCTTTGCAGTGGCTTTGGCAGATAGTTTACCTTAACCAGCCACCAGATAGCAGACCCATACAGAAATTTTCCCATTCCCTTCACATCCTGCACTGAGCTCAAAGCAGCTTATAATGATACATGTGTGATGGAATAGCAGGAGAGAAAATAGGGTTGTCAGCAATTAAATGCTCCCTGACTGCAATGACAGGAGTCTCAACCTCCAAGTTGATGGAGTGACAGGCAGGGAAGTAGCTTTGCTCTTAACTTGAGCAAAAATTATTCCAACAATCTTACCTGAAATGCTGGAAAGGAACAAACTAGATTGGTGAGCTATTTTGAGTCCTACCTGTGCAAGTTTTCTCAGACAGTTTTCTTCTACTTACCCTTTGCAGAAAACATTGTTGTGTTCCCAGACTGCGTCAATGACAGTGCAGTGGAAAGGAAGTTATTCACACTTCCTCATCTGGACAAGTTTAGTTCTGCTTTACTTCAAGTATTTATTGCCTTTAAGATGTCATATCCCACTATCTCTGATTTACATACTTAAGCCTAAAACATTTAGTAAGGAGGCAACTTCCTATTGAAATTTGACCATAAGCAGCTCTATGGATTTTCACATTTATGGGCTCCTATAATTTTGTTGCTACACTGTTGATGACCATCAGTATCATCAAATGGTGTATTTGAGGATTTCCACATATATGGTCTCAGGCTCTGAGCCCTTCAGTCCTCTTCTGAGGTTCTCTCCCTTTTCAAAACCAAGAGTTAAAATGAATGAACAGACATGTACCACCTCACATACACCATGTGCACACACATGCAGGGAACTGGATTTCAACTATGCTGTTTTCAAAATTTCTCATATTTTTGCCAATTCCAGCTGAGCTAGATCTGGGATGGCTGGGGTGAGGGGAATTTCTGTAAATCCAGTCCAATTTAGAAAAGCCTTTAATTACTAAGCAGGTAATTTGACTGTCTTTCTTTTGTACCTTTTTTGTTGCTAGCACCCATCTCTCTCTTCTCTATCAACTTCTCTTCTTATGGCACATGCTAACTGACAGACCAAAGAGCATGAATTTCATTCCAGCTTTTTAAACCCTGAGTTCAAATATCAGAGTAACCTGTGCGAAGAGAGGAAAGAGACCCTCGGCTGCAGTTAATCCCACGCTTCCCATTTTGCTGCCAGCAGGATCCTACCCTGCTCCTCCCCATGTGCTCCAGATACTGAGGGAGAGCAACCCAGGCTGCCTAGCAAATGCCACCCTGCTAAGAACTAAACTTCACTGTGATCCCATTTCTTCCCTTCCATCAGCCACACTTCCACCCAAGCCTTGAAAATGAAGAGCTGGGCAGCTCGGTACAGTCAGACTTCTGTGTCAGGAGAGGCAGAAGGGCAGGTTTTGAGAGTGGACCCTCACACCTTCTCCCCAGCTCTTTGCTCCAGCAAGTTCCCAGTACCAGGAGTCACTATCAGCTGAATCATTTTGTTTGACTTGTTCCATAACGTCCAGGTTCAGACCAGCTCTTCGGCTTGAGACTCGAATCTCTCGGTTCCTCTGTAAGGAGAAAGTGACACCAAGCATTATTCTCACCGTTTTATTTGTAAAGGACATAGCAGGAAAAGCTGTATTTCAATGTACTTCAAAACCTGAAAAACCCATGTCAGTTTGTGATATGTATGTTAAAGTGCTTGATATAACAATACTTTTACTAATGTAGTCTTGAAAATAATCCAGTTACTTAATGGAGACATTTAAGGATCATTTTAAGCTATACAGGGCACATTTGTACATTTCAAGTGTAACATACAGTATTTCCCCTTAAGATGTGCACCTTCATTTGATTGAAAGAAGGAATTTTCTCAAATATGCCATCACACAACTAATCTAAAAAGACATTTTTGAACAATGATATCTAACGACACAAACCAACTCGGAATAAACATGAGTAGATTTTTCACTAAACAGTAGAATTTCATTTGTTTCAGAGAATTATAAATACACATTTTTTACATAGTGAGGCATTTGACTCTCTGACTCCCTCAAGTTACTATGCTGGATGTTAGTATAACAGGACTATGCAAACTCAGATATCTGCAGATGAGTATTGGATAGGATTTTTTTTTTTAAAGCAGATACCAGAGAACTTTGGTCTTTTCCAAGATTCCCTTTCTCAACCCATGAAGGTGCTTTTAACACTGAACTAAAAACTGTGTTAGCTTAGAAGAATCCTGATGGGTTTCTCACCATTCTACTGGGTAGAATGATTTCTGTAAACCTTACAGAAAAAACCTCACAGTTTCCAATAAACAAAAGTAGTCTACTAAAAAAGAAAAAAAAAAATGGTAGAATAAAAATTCACTACAAAGAACTGTACTCCCAAGGTTGTCAAGTAACTAGTCTTCTAGGAATCTGAGGCACTCAGCTGTACCCCATTCAACATATCTTAGGGTGCTTTATTGCCTACAGGGAAATATTAGACACACATAATTTTTATTAGATTATTATTCATATGATGTGAAACCTGACAAAAAAACCAAACAAGTCAACACTTGCTGAAAAAGCTGATGTGAAGTTGTGTTAAAATTAAGTGCTAAAGGTAGTTTGAAATGGGGGAAGGCCCTGTTTTGAATCTAAAATTTCTCAGGTTTTGACTTATTTTAACTTAAGAAAGACTTTATGTAGTTATTGCCCTTTTCTCTGTGTGTGATTTATTCATCTATGCTTGACCTTTAGAGGTGCCCGCATTTTTACTTTATCCTGCTTGCACTAACTGGTGTCATGTTGGATGAATGTTACGACTGCTTAAGTCATAATTAGTCTGTGGAGAAGTACGCAGCAGTATACTTTTGAGAAGTATCCAGCCAGCAAATGCAGATGATGCTGTGAAGAAATCTAAGGACTAAAGAGGTTATTATTTCAGTAAAATGAAAATCACTTAGACTGGGTTGGGCGTGAAAAAATAATGTATAGCAGTCATTAGACAGAAAAGGCCTGAGTGGCAATAGAAATCAAAACATTCTAAGCAGTCATTACCAAATAATGCTGCCACATGGTTTCTGGTGCTAAATGTATAATTTACTGATAGAGTTAAGTACTAGGGATGCATTTTCAATTGCTGCTGAAGGGTTGTCATGCATCTTCTGCTGACTTTAAGCAAGCTTGCCTGCCCACACAGGAAGCCCTAACCCCCTGCCCCCCCAATTTTCACATTTCTGGAAATGTAAGAGAGATGTCACACAGCCATGGGCCCTGGCTACTAACTTTGACACCATTCGCAGCTCTTACATTAGTTACTCACACCCACAGTAGTGACACAGCAGTGCTGCCTACTGTATTTGGGGTGAGTTAGTCAGCTAAAGGAAGTACAAGCCCAGAAGGAAAAAACAGTTATTAGAAGCTGGAACCTTCATTCATGACTTCCTGACAGTATTATTTTATTTCTTTCTTAGAAACAAAAAGAATTCTGTAACATAAAACTCTCCCTTCTAATGAAATAAAGTCACATGAAGAGTTTTCTTCTGGCTGGGAATATGACATGAAACTCTGACACTAAAGAGAGTGCTGTTATGAGAACTGGACAGCAGAAGGACCACAGAAAAGTAGAGAAGCTTGACAAAAAGCAGGTGAGAAAGCAAACCCTAATTTTCATCCTCTTTCCTTTTACTTGGCTCTCATCTCTCTCTCCCCCACATGCACACTGTACGAAGACCTGCTACTGCCCATCATTCACAATTCCTTCCTAATGCCACCAGAAAGCACAGTGCAAGGCAATACACTTACAGTACCAGTTAGGGTCCTTTCCCAAGCCACAGCTGAAAGTCGTAGCTGTGAGACATCCACAGAAATCCACTGATGAAATGGCCAAGATCATAGGGAATAAACAAGTGAAAACAAACAGCTATATTTAAACTAACCTCCAAAAACTAAAACCAGATGAAGTAACTATGCCCTCAGATCCTTCCAACCCCCGTCTACAAGAACAGAAAATATACCCCATATTTGCTGCATGGTATCCACAAGATTATTTTAATGTAATCTACTGTTAAATTTTTAGTGTAGAGGATTTCAGTTGCTCCCAGTTCCTCTTCAACAGCTGAATCTATATAAACATGCTATATTACTAACACATTAATTGG